AAAAGAAATTATATGGTCTATATACTATGATTTATAGTAAGGTGAATCAGAAATTACAACAGAACAAAAAAGTAAGGCATTATATAAATTACAACAGAATTAATAAATGAAAATGCAATATCTCACTGCTTGTTTAGCTTACATCAGAATCTAGCCTACATTCTTAGTATACTTATATATAAACACATTATATTTTAAGGATTAACTATAAACTCTAATGTCATTACCTTTTATCTCTTAATGTAACAGGTAATAAACCCATACTTGTAATTGTGCCTGATTCCTTTTCTCTTCAGAGCAACATATATAAATTTTTTTTTTATGGTAAACCTATAAGCATCTACTAGCAGCTATATATGATAGATTCTACTTACACTTCTTCTTCAGATTTTGGGTCTTGATATTCATAACTGCCATGGAAAGAGACTGTTGATAGAGAATTTGCTTTATTAAGTCATTTTAACGGCAATATGAGACAGAGAATATGGGAAAGTGGGAGGGTGGGAGGGTGGGAGTGAGTGAGTGTGAGTGAGTGAGTGAGTGAGTGAGTGAGTGAGTGAGTGAGTGAGTGAGTGAGTGAGTGAGTGAGTGAGTGATGAGTGAGTGACCTTGCATGACAGCATGATGCCGGCATACTTCAGCTACATATTCTCCCAGAAGACAACATGTATAACTGTCCCATGATTCTCTCTATACCAATACTAACGATGACCTAACACTGACCCTCCCTTACCTCACTGACTATAGGCCTAAATATAAGACAGTGACCTGTTTCATTTGCTCTCTCTGTATTAACAGCTTGGAATGAGAATGATCCAGCAAGAAATGTGTGGCAACAGATTTATCAAGTGATTAATAAACATTAGTAGAGGATATCACCAATATTTCTCACATAAATAATACCAAACTATTATAGACTTCTTGTCAATTTATCTTTATAATATGTTTTGGTGCTATAACAATTACTGAGATTCAAAGAGTATCAAATGTGGGAGTCAGGAAATCACAACTGACTTACTAATTTACCTATAAACAATAGACTACAAGTTG